TCACCAAATGTCGCCTACGTGCTGGGCCCTCGGCTTGTCTCCAGATCGTAGGATGGAGCGATCGGGACACCCCTACCCTACAGGCTGCACTGCTGGGGGCTCACATATGCCCACGGCTTGCCACGTGGCAGACCCCCTCCTCCCTGCCCTTCCTTCCTGGTGCTCCTGCGGCCAGTTGCTTCTGGCTTCTCTAGGGCCTCAGTGGAAAAGCTGTCCTGGGCCTTCCTGCTGCTAGTGTGCTCATCCCAGAACAATGCCCACACCCTCAGTGACCCTTGACACAGCCCTGTCTGTCTCTGATACACCCAGGGAAGGTGACAGGAGTGTAGGCTTTTCCCTTTGTCCCTTGTTTTTATTTTTCAAATAAAATAAAGGTTAGTTTCATGAGAGAAGGCAGCAACTTAGGAAGAAGTGCTATTCTGGCTTAGAACCTCAGACTGTATGTAGGTTTCATCCGGGACTTCTAGATTTGCCTCAAAGGGGGTGTGGGTCCTTTATCTGGAAGCTGAGGTTTAAAAGAAAATAATTTATCAGCAGGGCATGGTAGTGCATGCTTGGAATCCTAGCACTGTGGGGGGCTGAGGCACGAGGATCACAAGTTTGAACCCAGCTGGGGCAACTTAGCCAGATGCTGTTATAAAAGTTCAAAAAAATAATAAAATTTGAAGAGGGTTGTGGATGCACCTCAGAGCAAAGACCTGGGGTTCAATCCAAAGCACTACAAAATTTTTTTTTTGGTGAGTGGTTCTGGTAGAACCTGCTATTGACCCTTCCCCACAGACTCTGGGTTTCCTTTGGGTCTTTTATGATCAGCTCCTGCCAAGGGTCCCTCATGAACTCCTGTCAAGGAACACCCAAGAACTCCAGCATTTTGAAGGAATGCCCAGCAGGGCAACTGGGCAGGGGCAGGGCACCACCAGGGCCGGGTGGGCTGTTCTACACTCACAGCGATGTTCGCCTGCCTGCCTCCTGGCCTGCCTCTCCACCTTCCTGGAAGGCCATCTTCTTGCCCTTTTGCCCATTCCTCATGCTTTCTCAAGGCCATCCCTCCTGCTCCTTTCCAGATGCTTTGGAAGTGTCACTAACCCTGGACTGCCAATACCCGGACAGTATTTTCTTTCTTGCCACCTGGGGGTGTCGTGCAGGGTTGCACCATGAACTTGGTGCATGAGAGGGGGACTGGAGCTAGTTCAGGGGAAGAACTGTCCTGAAGAGGCAGAGACTGCACCCTGGCAGGGTCCCTTGGGTGGGGGTGGGGCTTGGCTGTGAACGCGCCTGGCCCTGCTCATTGGTCCTGGTTTCTGGCCAGCTATCTCCCCTTCCACAGCTGGGTAAGCTGAGGTCAGGGTGCCTCTCAGTGAGAGGCTGACACTATTCTTTTTGGGTTTAAAAGCTATCTCTGTTGTCTCTGTCCCAGTCCATGATGCATGGTTCCTTCTAGGACAGTTTTCTATTCTGGAAGTCTTTTAAACTTTTTTAAGATAAGGTCTTGCTGAATATTATGGGCTGGCCTTGAACTCACTACGCAGCAGCACACTCTCAGCAATCCTCCTGCCTCAGCCTCCCAAATTCTGGGATCCTGTTCATGTGACACCACACCGGGCTCAGCCTCAGACTTGAATGTCCAGGAATCCAGGGGGAATGCATTTGTGACCAGCACCAGGTGACAGTGCTCGGCCTCAGCCCACACAGGGCAGCAGGACGGTAGGTGGGAAGCGCAGTGCCCTCGCGTGGACAGGCCTGTCTGGGGGGCCGGCTGTGCTGTGGCAGGTCTCTGGGAGAATCTCAGGAGTCTGAATGGTCTCAGTGGGGCTACCTTCCCCATTCCACCCCACGTTTAAACTTGTGACTCTTAAAAAAAAAAAAAAATCTCAATTCTACCTTGTGCTGCGCTTCTGGAAGCTGCCTTTTCAATCGGCGCAAATGGAAAATGCTACGCAACTCCAGGCTCCTAATCCGGTTCCGTATTCTCATCTCTGGTCTCCAACACTCCTGTCTGGAACTGCCGTGACACAGCAGTACCACCCCTTATCACTGTCCTGGGGAGGTGACTTCAGGCTGCCCTCGGGATGTGCCCCTGGGACACTCCCCTATGTAGTGGACTGCTAACTGCTGGTCAGCTTGTTGCACCCAGCTGACGTGAACTGTCATGGTGCCAGGTGGGGGAGGCCTGTGAGGACTGTTGCCAGCAGCAGGAGGCAGAAGTGGAGAAGCTACCGGCGTAAAGGGGGGATGCTGTTTGGAGAAGCTGTTGGGAGCTCCTGGTTCTCCTGGGATGTTCTGCTGGCTGACCCTGATATGCTGGCTTTCCTGACACACTGGGCTGTTCTTGTCGCAGTGGCTCAGGACTCCGTTGTTGGTGAGAATGGCTGCAGTTCACTTTGGGGAAGCTCTGGTGCTCACCTTCAGCATCGCTTCCTGGCTCTGAAGGGGAAGATGGTGCACTGCTCAGCCTCCTGGAGGCGCTTGTCACGTTGGCGCTCCTGATGGGAACTCTTTTCCTCAGCACTGGAGAAGCGCGGGACCTCACTATTGCTGAGGATGGCTGTGGTACTTTTCAGGGGAGCTGTGGTTCATTTTTAAAAAAAAAAATATTTGGTACAGGGTCTCACTATGCAGCTTGGACTCGAAGGGACCCTCCTGTTTTCAGCCTCCCCAGCACTAAGATTACAGGTGTGCACCACCACACCTGGTCTCTGGCCAGCTCAGCGCACCTGCGGGCAGGGCCAGTGTGGCCTGTGGTGCCGGGGACTGGACCCCAGTCGCTGTGCTTGCCTAAGCAGGTGCTTCCTCTGCTGAGCTATCTCGCTGGCCCTAGAGCTCTGGTTCTTACCTTGAGCATTGCTTCCTGCTCTAGCTCAGACCCCGCAGCCTGCTAGCGCAGATCCTTTATCCCGTCGGCATACTTTCTAGCTTTCACCACTGATCCCAGGGCAGATCTGTGAAGCGGGCCTGCATGAGACCTCGTCATGGGCTCTAGGCCTCCAATTGGACTTATAAGAGGCACTGTTACGGGCTCTAGGTTTTCAGCTGGACCCATGTAGAACATTCTTGTGGGACCCAGGCCCTCCACAGAAATCTTTGGTCTTTAATGTGTGGACAGATTTCCTGCACTTTTTATATATGCTTCTTTCGGTGATCCTCTATAAAATAATCTTTTAGTGTCCTGTATTATCTTGTTCCCCATGTAAAAAACCCCAAACCATGACATCCGAGAAACCCTTTTCTCTGAGACACAAGTTTGCTGGCAGGTAAATCCAGACTGTCTAGATTAGAGCAGCCGTCTCCCCTACATGCAACTTGGAGGGGACAGGAAGGAGACCGGAAGGCTGCAGGTTCTTGTGAGCTGTGGGAGGCAGCCAGGGCAGAGGGATGGCCCATTCACTGGGCAGGAAATGCCTGAGCAAGAGATAAAGGCCTGGGCTGCGGGAGCACTGGATGGTTTCATTCGCTGCTGGGGGTAGACAGGGACAGGAAGGAATGGCAGAGAGGGGAAGGAACTGCAGCCCCAGCCCCTGGCCTCCAATCTCTTAAGGTGGAGCATGTGCAACAGAGTGATTTAGGGGAGCAAGTAGCTGCCCCAAGGGGAGCCTGCTAGCTGGTGCTGACAGAAAAGTTCTGGCAGAGTGATATTTGATCAGAAAGAGCCAAGGAGAATAGCATTTGCATTAGGCATGGATTTCCTAACAGGATTTTATAGGGGAAAGGAGGCAAAGCAGTGACTTCTAAACATAGATGGCCTGGCAGGTCTTAGGCCCCAGGACAGGTATGAGGAGACTGAGGACCCCCAGCGCCAGCTGGCACCATCTTTAGGCCTGTTTGAGTCCTATCGGGTCCCAAACAGCCAGGGCTGACACTGGGGCGAGGAGAGACAGCCTGCCAGAGAGGTCCCTCATGACCATCTGTGTGTGGGCAGCTTCAGGGCAGCCTAGGAGGCAGCCACACTCTGAGTGGTCCACAACTGCGGTTACAGGTCAAAGAGCAAAGCCTCCGAACCTTCCAGAACCAGTCCAAGGGTGACTTTCTCATTCCGAAGGCAAGGCCGGGGTCAGGGAAGTATCTGGACCACATGGGCAGCCCTGCAGGGGACCTGCATTCCTCCCCATCTTCCTCACCTTCCTCTGCCTTTGGAATGCTCGTGTCAGGGGCACAGCAGAGACCTCTTGACCTATGGCTGCCATCTCGAGGCGGCACCCCTCCCAACCACATTAAGCAACTCCCACCCCCACATCCACACGCCAAAGCAGAGCTCACAATTAAAATGTACCTTTAAAAAGAACCATAATTTCTCAAGTGTATCTCACACATGCTTAAAAACAAATAAAAACCCCAAGTCCAAGAGTATCAGCCAGATTTCAAGACCCTGGGCAGGACTCCGGTGCCTCTGCCCTCTGTTATTGGATACCCCAAGTTTGAGCAAGGTGACAGAGAAGGTTGAGGGCACTTTGTGGCAAAGGTGCTCTGGATGCTTTGCACCGCCCCCCACTTGCTTTATAATCCAGCTTTGATCAGCCAAGGACCCCACACACATCAAAATCAGTCATTAAAACTGATTCTAGCCAAGGGAATTCATTAGCAAAATATTTAAGACTGAGCTCCCTTATCAAACAACCACAGCCCAGTATCCTGTGTTCTCCTTACCACTGCTGAGTTTCTCCGTGTAGGAGCTAGCTGCGATGGTACACGCCTATAGTCCCAGCCACACGGGAGGCCGAGGCAGGAGGATGGCTTCACCTAGAAGTTGCCATCCTGCACAAGAGAGACCTTATTTCAAGAAAAAGTTCCCCTGGTAGGACTTCCCTGTGGGATTCATTTAAACTCAGGTAACAAAATCCACAGTGCTTGCCTTTCACACCCCGTCTCTGGGTGAGGGGAGCTCAGGATCTGCAACTTGGAGAGACCGAGTGTGTGAAATCTGGATTGGGGACAGAGTCACAGGAATTTGCTGTGGAGGGGCACGGTGCCTGGCGGGGCTTACATGACTGCTACACACACACATGTACATATAAAACAGTAAAATACTTTAATTCTTTTTACACGGCCACAAGCTTTCTTCAGCCAGTTGACACCTGTCGTGACCCGCCTCAGTGCAGGTCATTCCAGAGTTATCAGGACAAGTCACCCAAAATCTGCAGTAGGGGACCTCGGTACACGGTCCCAAGAGTCACTGCTGCTAAAAATGCAGTTTGTCCCAGCCGCAGAGCCAGAAGCCAACCCACCCTCTCGCTGCATTTGTACAGAACTCTTCCACAGGTCTAGCACAGGCAACGTGCTTAGGACGCACTCTAACATAGAGCACCCGACACACTGGGGTGTGAGCCCCGCGTCTCCCGGGGGAGTGTGCAAGCCAGCAGATGCACGCGGTATGAGACAGCAGGAAGGTACGGAGGGTGTCACAGTCCATTCGCTTTCCATGTGACCTGTCCAGCACTGGGGCTTGTCTCTGTCTGGTTGGTGGCACAAACGGTGACAGAAACAATGTCATCCCCTAAGAGTGAAGGCTGTCAATGTGGAACTGGGTGACAGCAACTGTCATCCAGACATAGTCTGGAAAGAACTGTCAGGTCCAAGGGGCGCTGGCTGGGGCTTGCACGGGCACCTGACGGGGAAAGTGCACTTCCAACGGTTGATACAAAAATAGATTGGCACACGCTTTTGACACAGGGAGGGTTTTTCTAAACGCCTTCCCAATCCTGCAGTTTGCTCATCTGCTCTAGCACTGCGCTCCGAGGCAGATCTCGGGGACAGTCGTGGACAAGGAGGGCCAGGTCTGTGTGCTCCCGGAGCAGCAGCAGCTGGGCTGCTCGGGTCCTCGCTGGCGGGGAGCAGGGTGACAGGGCCTCTGCCACACGTCAGCACACAGCTCCCCTTCTCGGGCTCTGAGCAGCAACGAGCTCACAGCTCTTCTCTGTGAGCAGGAGCCACCCTGCCCTTTCCATTGCTGCTTCCCAGGAGAGCACGGAGAGAGGAAAAGCAGCTGGTCCCTGGAGCTCCAGCGCTGCATTTCCGGGAGTCAGCGCTGCTCCCCTGAGCCCCAGCGCCTGGCCTTCCCCCCACCCCCGGGGCCTGTGCTAGGAGCGCTGGATGAGGCGTCTGTAGTGTGGCATGACCTCGTGCTCTGGCAGGTGGAGTGCGAATTCCAAGGCCACTAACACCGGGAACTCGAAGGCAATCAGTTCTCGTCGGTTCAGCCGGAACTTCTCTTCCAGCTTCTGCAATATCAAGACAGACAGACAGTTTAGCTGGGTTTCTCCAAGCGCGGCTTCTGCAGCCATTAGCCAGCAGCGCATGTTCGAGGAGGGTGTGCCGACTCGCCAAGGCTGGCGCGGCACCCATCTCCACTTTACAGACCAGCGCGCCCAGGCTCCAAGGCCAGGTGTGTGCTCAAGTGCAGCCCTGACAGGCAGCTTACCCAGGACTGCCCTGAGAAAGAACTTACGTAGGCTTAGAACTACAACTACAGCCACTCCCCCACTGCTGCCGCCACACCTGAGTGCTGAGCGTGGCCAGATGCTGCTCTGTAGGTCATGTTTTCTGATGTTGCTTAAGGTCGACTTTTGCCTTAATGAGAGAAATCTACCAAGTAGCGCGGTTGCTGACTGCCCGCACACAGCGCTCGAGATGGGTCTGGTTTGGTTCACGGCGACCCTGGGGGTCCTGTTACATTCTATGATATCAGCTTTTGCTGTGTGGTCCAGTAATGAACTGCAATTAAATATCTAATATCACTTAATTTTTATTAATATTTGTGATTTCTGATGCACAGGGGATATGTCCAAGACCCCAGCAAACACCTCAAACCAAGGATTGTACCAAGTCCTAGAGGTTTGCCAGTTTTTCAGACATAATACCTATGGTAAAGTTTAATTTATAAACTAGGTAGAGTAAGAGATTCACCACAATAAATAACAACAAAATAGAACTGTCAAGTAACTGTGGCGAAAGGTATGTGAAGATGGTTGGTCTCGTGATGTTCTGCTGCCTGTACTACCCTTCTTGTGACAATGTAGATTACACAGTCCCCAAGGGGTAGGGAGGAGGGAGGGAATGACGAAGGTGGCACAGCACGTGGCTCCTGGGGTTCACCTGAACACAAGCACTGTGAGCCCAGGACAGCCGACATGAGAAGCAAGGTGGCTACGTGCCGGCGGTCAGGAGCGTATGGCAGTGGGTGCGCTGGACAGAGGCTGACTCATATCCCAGGAGGGACCAGGTGGAACTCCGTAAGGTTTCATCGTACTACTCAGAAAACTTAGGGATTGCGTGTTTCCGGAATTTTCCAAGTAATATTGTTGGGCTATGGCTGACTGCAGCAAAAGCTTTTGAAAGCAAAAGCTGTGCCAAGTGCACGTGACTGTACCAGCTGAATGAGCCACAGTGCAGGTTGGCATCCAACAACCACCCCACCCACGTGCACATGGACTTACTGCATGGGCTGGACAGCGTGTAGCATCTCTCAAAAGCAGTAAAACATTGACCTAAAGAATGCTTGCTTTTATACAGCAGGCACCCATATTAGCTTCCTTTCTGCCTTTTCTTCTTTGCCGCTAAAGGGAGCCCGAAAGTGAGACAGGCGGGACACTGCATGAACCACGTCTTATTTTCCGTACCGATACTGAGCCATCTTGGGGCTTTGCTGATCCTAGGGGGTCGGGGTTTTCTTGCCAAGGTGAGGCTTTCCTTAAAGAAAGGAAATGGCATCCATGGAACCCACACCCTTCTCCAAGGGCAGGAAGCCATGGCCTGCCAAGCTAGCCTGTCTGCTGGATGCTCCGGTCCCACTGCTCATAAGACCCCACAATTACAGCAGCTTCCGTGGCTCCGAGGACAGCATTTCTCATGGTGTATGAGAACGGGGTTGGTGGGGTTGTGTGGCAGGCCTGAGGCTGGGGCTCTTTGGTCTCATCCTAGTAGCTCAGCCTTCTGCTCCCAGATAGCTAAGATGGAGCATCTGGCCTCCCATGCAGGGAGGACGACCTCATTTCTCTCCATTTCCCACTGGTGGTCGGTTCCACAGTCCTTCTGCAAAGACCTCAGGACTATGTGTCATCCTCCTCCCCCAAGCCATCAGGACACAGGCCACTTACATCAATTAAATGCTTGACTTCATGTTTTTTGAGGTCACTTCCAATCTTGGCCGCTAATAGGACACATGCTCCAGCACACAGCTTCCGGTTCTGCTTGTTCAGCTTCCCCTTGAGGGCGAGCTTCTCAAAGTAGACAAATGCCATGGCCACTGTGGGCTCCTCGAAGCCACAGTCCTCCTGGGCAAGCTTCCGCATCTCCCGTTTCAGGCTAGAGAGAGACAGACACAGCAAGGTGTCTTGGAGGTTGAGTTTCAGGAGACACCAAAGAACACAACAACTCCATTCCAGGGGTGACACTGGTTGGGAGTAGATCCCTATGAGTGTCAAAGTTCTAGAACCTTCTGTGTTTGGTCTGGCTGCACAGGTTGTGCTTACTCTCATTCTTGCCCCAGACCCAATGGCCCGGTGCTGCCAAAACCTTACTTCCAGGATGAGAGGCAGCAGACCAGGCAGGGGTGTGACCACTGAGCATCACGTGGGCCACGCAAGGAGCCCACTGAATGCATGGCACGTCTGAGTCTGTCCTGGACTCTGGGCTGAAGCTATCCAAAGTCAAAGAGGCACTGCACTTGTTCTAGAGACCACTCTAGAAATAAATCAGGTACCCTGGTCTGAGCTATGCTGGACACCAGCTGTGCTCATTTCCTCTAGCAGGAAAGGATCTGCCTAAGAGCATGACCGTCGGTGTTAGATGTCGCCCAGCAAACGGCCAAGTGTGAACACTCAACTTCTCCTAAAAACATTTTTTTTTTTAAATTCTGTAGCTTGGAACATGCCAGAATCAAATCGGTATTAGGGTATACTTTGGCATAACCATTCGCATACACTCCACGCCACGTGGGTGTACAGCTCAACTCCTGTTGCCACACACACACTCTCAAAATTCTACTATCCTGGTGGTGTTGGTTATCTGACGATGTGGCTGGCAGAGGTGGGTCACCACAAAGCCAATGCCATCAGCTATGTTAGAGATAGGGTTTTGTCTTAATACCTACTTAAAGATAGGGCCTTGCTGTCCCCCTGGGCAGGTGACTGGGTGAAGTGATCTCATGCCCTCAGATGCCAGAATGAGAGAAAGTGGAGACGGGGGCACCACGTGTTCTCTTGGGGTCTCTGTCACATAAACCTTCCTGAACTTGTGTGCTATGTGCAGCTAACATGACATGATCTCTCACAATCAAAGCAGAGGCCTCAACAAGTCTGGAAGGGGCTGTACGGTAGGGTTTCAAGGTGACAGGAGCCGCCCATACCTCCTTATTTTGCTGAGCGTTAACTTAATGTGAGGAAACTTCTCCTTGAAGGTCTCGTTCATATCCTTCTTGAGATCCGAGGGCTTCACGTAGTCAATGACTGTGGTCTGTAACAGGCAGGGTGAGACACGTTACTCTAAGGGTCTACGTACCAACAATGCCCCGGATGCGCCTGACCCACAATTTCCCAAACATGGCACAATGCGGAAATCAGATTAAGAGTCACAGCAAGGGCTCTGCTCAATCCAGAGCCTGCAGGGACCATGGCCCTCTGGAGGTACAGGACAAAGAAATCACCACTCCTGGCAGGATGAAGTGACATTTAGGAAAACTGACTGTAGGTCTCAAGGGAGAGAGAGGGAGAGGGGGCCTCTTAGTTGCTGTGCTTCCGGCTGCTGTTCTGCACACAGTGCACTGCTCAAGGCGTGCAATTGTGGCCCGCGTGGATTTGGGTTCAGCCCATGCTAGACCCCTCACTAACTGGCTGGTGCCAAAGCAGCTTTGGGAGCTATGAGTCGAGCTCTGTACCATGCTTGGCATCAGCAAGTGTTCAGGAACCTGCGCTACTGACCCAGAGGCAGCCGGTGCAGGCACCGGCCATCCTGGGGATCTCTGAAACCGCTGAGTACCTACTCTGTAGTAAGTCCCTTTCTTCTTCAACCAGCTGGGGTGCAGCACAGTGCATGCTGAGCTGCACAGCTGTGCCCTGTGTGTCAGCTGACAGCGTTTGCTTCTACTGCAAGCGGCCCTCCCTTCAGGTGCTACATTTCACTGACCCCCTGAAGGCACCCGTGTCCTGAGCTCCCTGGAGGCTTAGTTTTGTCCCTAGGCCCTGACGGGCACATCTTGAGACATCTGTCCCAAAGGCAAGATGGGTGGAGCTGCATATGGCCTTGGCACAGCCCCCAGCAGCTACATGGCAGCAGCCGGGTTCACACGTGTGCCCCCTGCAAGGACAAGCAACATTCTGCACGACCACTGCTCTGTTGGGCTTCTGTTGCTAGTGACAGCTCTGACCAGGAGTAGGCCAACCTGAAATGTAACTCACTCCGCCGTCTGGCCTTCACCTAGCTACTCTGAGCCTTTTCTTTTTTGAGATTTGGTACTGGGTTTTGCTACACAGCTCAGACTCATAGTAATTCTCCTGTCTCAGCCCCACCCCTACCCAGTGCTTGGATTACAGATGTGCGCTACTACACCTGGTTTCAGTGGCCAACACAGTGCAAGGCGGGCATGGCATGCAGTACCAGGGATTAAACCCAGGTCCTTGTACTTGCCAGACAGGCACTTAGACCACTGAGCTATCTCCCCAGCTCCGCCTTTTCTAAGTCAGACATAATACACTTGAGGTGTTTGGCTTCTAGCAAAGCCCAGGAACAACCATTTCTTGGACCAGATTCACCCCACTCCGTTCTATCTTCAGAGATTGCAGCAACCATGTCTCATTGCACTGACAGCCTCTCAGGGTGGCCAGAAGTCCTCAAGGGTTTATAGCAGTGAGAGGAAGATGTCTTGAGCAAGGGACAAGCGGCCTAGGAAGTGGCCACCCGAGGATGTCCAAGTTCCAGGGCATCCAGGAAAGGGCGTGGTGACCTTGGGCTGCAGTGCACTTGTGACAGCCGCACCAGAGGCGAGGGCCGGGAGTCATCCTGGAGGTAGGCTGGACTTGGCGGATGCCATGCTTGCAGGCACAGGTGGAAGAGAAGCATAGCAGGTCACCCTCATCACTGTACTGCCCCAACCTGGGTGTGTCGCCTCCCAGGGCCAGGGCTGGAGTCAGAGACCCAGGTGTTGGGGGCTGTGCTCCTCTGAGATGGACAAAATCTCGGGGTCGAACCCTTTCTTTTTTCCTGAGACCCAGGTCCCAAGCCTGTGGGTGCGTCGCTCCAACCTCTGTCTTCATACAGGAACGCCTTTCCACATCATAATCACCTCACATTGTAAGAGCTGTGTCAGTCTGACCATATCCTAATGACCCTATTTTCTTTCTTTTCTTGTACAAGGTCTTACTACCCAGCTTGGACTCATAGTGATCCTCCTCTTTCTGCCTTCTTAGTGCTTAGATTACAGGCATGTGCCACCCATGACCAGACTCCATCACCGGCTCAGAGCACCCAGGGGCGCGGCTGGCACCGGCGCCACATGCGGTGCCAGGGACTGAACCCTGACCCCTGCACTTGCCTAAGCAAGCCCTTTGTCCACTGAGCTATCTTGCCAGCCCTAACGACCCTATTTCTGAACAAGGATGCAGTCTGAAGTCTTAGGGGTAAGGACATCTTGAGTGACACGGCTCTGCTGTGTGTCACTCGGCATGAGCTGATTCTGCAAACAGCAGTGGACTGTTCCTAATGGTGCTGCTGCATGACCTTGCTGACCTCTGACCTCAGCGCCCAGCCCCCTTGCGGCCCAGCTCTGCCTTGGCCCTGGCCCAAGGGAGGCTTGCCTGGGTGTCTTCTTTCCCTGCCCCTTCTGCTTGCTGTGACAGTTCCCTCTTCTTCCTTGTCCTTGTCCCTGCTTCTCTGTGCTGTGGTTCAGTGAGGAAGAACAGACTCTGGAGCCAAGCCTGGGTGGACATGCAGCTCTGATAGGCAGCTCCTCTGGCTTCTCCATCACCGCTTTATGCTGGTGAGCCTGGGATACCTGGCCTGCAGGACTGACCTACGTCCTGCTCACCCTCAGCCATACGTGACAACTGGGACAGTGAGCGGGGCGGGGCGGGGCACCAGGCGACAACTTAGCTACAGGTGCTGCTCAGCATGTGTGCATACACCTGAGGTGCTCATGGCCCAGACCCTAGTACCAGGTGGGTCCCCCCCAACCCACAGGTGCCAGCGATGATGTTCTTGGAGAATGGCAGACGACAGTTCCCCGGCGTGTTCCTGTCTGCCTCAGGGGAGCCACTGATGACCCTCAGCAGCTGCACCTCCTTGGTACTCTAAAAACTTTACTGACAGCTGAGGTGGGGACGCGATCCCAGGAGGGCTAAGCCACAAGTGTGGCCTAGCAGTCCCCCTGTGGTCACGCCTTTGGGCTTAGCAGAGAATAAATTAAACCTGGGTCTGATGCTCTGTGCAAGCTCGCCTACTGATCTGTCAGAGTTGTCCAAATTCGCAATGCCTGGGCCACAGCGGGTTACTAGACACAGAAGGCCTAACGATCCAGGTCATGGCTCCTTCCTGATCAGGGACAGGCTGTGTTCACTGCCACCTAATTCCAGGCCCTGACACTGGCCAGATGAAGGGCTGCTCCGGGTGCAGCTGCAGCCAACAGCGGGCTGGGTTGGGCTGCGTGAGTGACGCGTGGTCGCTCCAGCTGCAGTGCTTACATTGTGCAGAGCCGGCGACCCGGGGCAGCCACTGGAATGCACTTTCTGGCAGCTGCCTGATGAGGAAGAGGGAAAGGCTGGCTGCGAGCAGGAGGCCACTGCAAGCCCAGAACGTCTAGAGACTCAGTGTGCAAAGCAGCCCCGGCCAGGCTGCCCCTGGGAGATGGGAAGCAGAGCTGGGATGTACTGGGGTTGGGTGGGCATCCCTGAACCCCTCCAGCAAGGAAATACCACAGCTTAATCACCTTGCCAGAAGAACCCACCAGCTCTATGGTGGAGACACTGGACACTCTGGGGTCTTTGCAAGAACAAGCCCGGCCTTGACCCATCACAAGCAGTGAGTCACCGAGGAACTGAAGGTGGCCCAGCCTGGCCCGAGGGACCAGCTGTGGCACGATAGAAGAAGGCTGTCAGGCAGGGAGGAGGTCTGCATGCCCTAGTGCTTGCTCTGGGAACAGCAAGAGGCTTGGGGCTGGGAGCTGCAGGCCTGTCAGAGAGAGGCTGCTTCTGCTCCCAGGCCTGGGAACACTTGGCCACCTCTCTCCTTTCCACAGGAATCTGTCTGAACAGGTGAGCTCGCTGCCCTGTGGGTAAGAGACCCCCTACCCTAGGAAGGACCATTCCAGGGCTCTAATACCCCAGAGGTACCTGGAGACCTATGGCAGGCATGCAGCCACTCTATACCTCAGTTTCTCTACAATGCCCATGAAAGGAAGGAAGACAAGCCATGATCTGAGGTGCTCCTTCCAGCCCCTGTGGCCCTGCACAGTCAGGACTGTTCTGCTTCCACTGTACTTGTGTGACGGCTGTCGGCACTTCCAGCTCAGCTGAATCCAGGGGCGCAGATGTTTGCTCTTGTTCAAGCAATGGCATAGGGCAACCCTGGACCATACGACCATCCAGAGGTGGGCGCCACAACTGTCCTGTGCATTTTATCCTTTTCCAGGGAGGAAGTAGGGGTGGGACGCACAGCCTGCAGCTGCATGGGCTGCAATTTCTAGCCCTCAGATTCCCTGCAGTGTAAGGCGAGTTCAGGCCAGGAAACCGCTGGCTTGTGCTCTGCTGCCCCAGAACCACTGGGGCAGTGACTCTGGGTGGATGTGGTGGCATCCAATGACCCAGGTGGTCTTGGGATGTACTTTTACATGTGTGTTTCTTCAACAGTGGTCAAAGGGCATGTCATGTTCGAAATCATGGTTTGAAATTGGGAATGGCGGTGCACGCTCGTTCTCCCAGCACTCAGCAGGCTGAGGCAGCTGATGGTCCTGAGTTCAAGGCCAGCCTGGGCTAGACCCTACCTCGAAAAAGGTACTAACCGATCACCAGCTCCCCCTACCCCCATCTCCGCAGAACACACAGAAAGGTAGCAGATGCTGCTGTACATGTTGGGACTTTTTGTAGGAAGCAAACGATTAGAAACCACAATACTGATACATGTTACAGCACGGATAAACCTCGAAATGTAAGCCAGACACAAAGGCACAGCTTGCACAACTCCACTGACGAGGAACAGGCACACCCAGAGGACACCAAGGCCCACGGCAGTGCAGGGCTGGGGACAGCTAAAGGGGAAGGGCCTTGGGTTGGGGAAGGTGCAAATGTTCTGAAATTGATTATGGTCATGGCCATGTAGCTTTATGAAAATCCTGTACACGGTGAGCCGTACGCTATGCACGTGGTGTCTACTACCAGTTTCCAAAAACCCCACAACAAAACAAAAATAGCCCATGGCTGCTGTCTCTGCCACAGCACGGTAAGGTATTTGAGGCTCTTTTCTGTTTTTAGGGTTTCTGAGACACAGTCTTACTATGTAGTAAGACCCAGCTGGCCTTGAGCTGGTAGCCATCCTCCTGCCTACCAGCTGATGATCACAGGTGTGCTCTACTACACCCAGTTTGAGGCACCTTAATTCCACACTGTACCTAAAGCAAGTGGGCTCAGCTGCCGTGCAGGTTCCCAGTATGCCTGCACAGCTGGCCCATGACCCCAAGGGGGCCGAGAAGGGCTCTTGCAATGGAAGAGCTTGGAATGGGCCACCCTGCAGGCAGGAAATCGCCGAAGCAAGCAACACAACATGAAAGCAAATCGATGATGGAGACCCCAGAAAGTCTGAGTCGCCTTTGCTTAATAGCTCACCCTGCTGAAAACCCCAGCTGGAAGAGCAAGTCCCAAGCATGTGCCAAGGACTGCAGAAGCCCAGGGAAGCCAGATAAGCACCTGGATCCAATGTGCTGCAGCGTGGTGACCACCCAGGCAGGGCAAGGATGCCCCTGGTAACACACAGGGCGTCCTCCTTGGCCTTCTGAGGTCAGAAGGATTTCTTTCTCCAAAGAAAAGATCCAGAGAGCCAATCACCAGGGTTATCTCGGCTCTCCCCCTGGTTTTCATCTCTTAATTGTTCTCCACACCCGTACAGAGAAAACAACAATGAAAACCACTACTCGAGCTGCCAGGCTGCCCAGTGCAATGACACGCTGCCAGTCTCTAATGAGGCTCTATCCCTGGCTGGGTGTGTCCCATGGTGACTCAGGGCGTCGCCCAGCCCCTGGGCTGAGGCCCTGTAAGACCTGTGCGCAGCAGGTGCTTGACACACAAGCATGACCACGGCTGCTTCCAGAGCCCTGAAGGGCCAAACCCCCGGCCAGCTGCAACCTGCTCTCCGTGCCTGCCCCCAGGGATTGTATTTTTCAAGTCCAACTCCCACCCTGGTTCTTTCCCAGTGGACAATAACGGCAGTGACACACATGGATTAAAGTTTAGAATGACACATGCGACTCAGTATAGGGCCACTTTCTTGAGGTGCCCCTTCCATACTGCAGATGACAGGCCTCGGAAGCATCCACCCTCAACACATGGCCTCCCTGGGGGACGAGCAGCCTTTGGGCATCACTCTGAGAACAAATACTGAGGAAAATACACATCTTGTGGCACCCTGGATGGCTGGTAACATCTGGCTCAGTCTGCCCTTGTGTAATTTACTCAAGAAAAATGAAAACAGGTGCCTGTAAAAAGATTTAGACAAGTCAGAGCAGTGCTCCTAACATCGCTGCATGGAAATGCCGGGTGTTCGTCAAAGGGGAGTAGAGATTGTGTGGCTCCAGCACCACTCGGCACTAAAGACAAAGCACCAATACACCCACTTAGGTGAATCTCAGACATTAAGGGGTGTGGGAGACCGCCCCAATCCTACACACCCGAAGTCGTAATATGCATGAAGCTCCAGAATGAGTAAAACTATGTATGGGTCTTGAAGACAGAAGTGAGCTGCCACAACATGAAGCTCCTTGGGGGGAGCCAGGGGGACAGGGACAGCCTGTGACTGCAGAGGTCCTTCGAAAACCCAGGACTATACACTCCATGTGTAGAAGTTACATTATGTTTGATAGGTGGAACGGTTAGTACATTTCTCTGCAGGTGTCTGGCGCTGCAGAGGCTGAAGCTCTGTGCAAACAGGACAACACCCCAGACTCTGGGCAGCAGCTTGGGGACTCTGCTGGGCCTTGAGGTGGCTGGGCAAGGACAGCAGGCCTGGAGGCCAAGCAGTCCCCAGAATCCATTCTCACTGGCTGGCAAGCAAAGGTGGCTGCAGAAAGCCCTGGGTGGAGCGAGTTGGAGCTGGCCTCATGGTGCGTGGAACCTGTCCTAGATGACAGAGAGTGAGCGCCACACACCAAGCCAGGAGCCAAGGGCACTGTGGGCTCCTCTGGCGCAGCTCCAGGCAGCCTCAAGCTCCTGTTGCTATCTGATGACTCCAGGAGCCGGGCGTCTACTGCACACGCAGCTCCTGAGCTGGGAGCGCCACTCTGGGACACGTGTGTGTATACAAAGGGAGGGGCCGTCTTACACTAAGTCAGTCTCTTGGCACGTTAGGGTCTCTGTGAGAGACGAGCCCACCCTGAGCCTCCATCTCTCCTGTCACTCTTCCATAACAGTTCTTTCCGCATGACCACAGTGGCTTACCTTCTGTTGACATCTAACTGGCCCATTCACTCAGACCCATGAGAAGAGCCTGCAGGGCCCATTGTGAGACTGCAGCCAAACTTGCTGAATGTGCAAATTCTACATTCATGGACACACAAAAGTGAGGCAAACACCCACACCCACACTCGTTCCTCTGAGGTCAGAACACATGCCCAAGAAACAGTCCTGCCATCTACGCCCACCTGGCTCTCGGGAGCTGGCTGAGGCTCTCTGTGGTACACACAGACTGTCAGGGCTTTGATGGGAATGCCCAGAAGTTATTCCTGCCTCAGATCAACCGCAGCCAGAACGGGAGGTGACGGGGCCTCAGAGAGCGGACCAGGGGGATGCAGCTCCCCTGAGCTCTCGCACTTACACACAGGCCTTTCCAGGAAGCAGACTTCCGACCCAGCAGCAGGAAAAGAAAAACGATCCACTAAACAAGGAGGGCAGGGCAGGTAGGCTGGTGTGGCGAGCCAGCTAGCATACAGCCGCAGAGTGTGTGTGTGTGTGTGTGTGTGTGCGCGCACATGTGCGTGTGCCTGCACATGCCCTGGTACAGGACCTTAAAGCTCTTGCTGTGACATTACTTAAAGAAAAGAAAAGAGCACCAACTGGACCTGGCATGTACCCGGCGCCAGGCTCATAAAAGGAGAGGCCAGTGCCATCCCCAGATGTGACCTGTCCCTGGAGCTCCCTCCAAACCCCGCCATCAGCCAGAACAGTGCACCTTCCAGGTTTCTTGGTTGCCCAGACAGCTGTGAGCCCCCTGGTCCAGAGAACCCCGCTCGTGTCCTGCCCCAGGCCAGGCAGTTTGACACAACCAGCAAGGGCTGTGGTCTCAGCCCCACTTCTTGCCTATCCACAGGGACAGCCTGCCTCAGACTGTGAGTCACAGTTTCCTGCCCGGGTTAATTCATAACATGAACTTTAACAAGCAAAGCAGTGAACTGCAGAAAGAAGCCTTACTCTTGCAGGAGGGCAAACCTCTTGGGTACACCTTCCCGACCAGCAGGGTGATGGGGTCTGCTCCCTTATGGAGAGCTTATTAGGTGTTAGTCTCGAAACAGGTCACGGAGTGGAAAGAGGCAGCTCTCTGTGGCTATGGTTTAGCTCTTTCTGCGCCCAGAGCTGAGGGGTTCTTGTAGGCAGGAGTGAGGGGCAGAGGTCACTTATGTACTAAGCACCTTTGGGAACTCATTCTGACTCAGTGTGGTGAAGCATGGTGACCTCTGAACTATGCCAAACTGTAAGAGGGTAGATGCAGAAAGTCACCAGCAGGGGCCGAGCATTGCCTGGGCTTTCTCTGATGACAATTATCTCACGGTGCAAATCTGGTCCGCACCTTTGAAGTGGGCGGGGCTGGTTTGCAATCTGGGTTTTCTAGTCAGGACCACGGTGGGGTCTTCCTGGCTGAGTGCTGAGACCAGGGCCAGAGTGGGAGAGAGGCAACGTGGGGGGACACCCAGCCACACCAGGACACAGGGCAGGGAGACGCGGCTTTCTGGGCTGATGCCGCGGGGTTTCCCTTAATGCCTGGTCCTCCCCTTCCTGCTGCTGTGGCCAGTGCTCTGCATGGCAGGGAATCAGGATGGGTCTGTCTGCCCAAAGACAGGACACGGGACCCTGGCAGGGCCACCGGCCCAGGGTCAGGAGAAGCGGCAGCTCCTAGCAGTGAAATCTGGGTCCATACCACCCTGTAGGCACCCAGTCACATTCTGGTGGTGGTCAGCCCAAAGCAGAAACCAAAGTTACATGAAAGAAAAGTCAGGGAGAGCCCATGAAATAAAAACAGTGAGAGAAGCATTTGCATTGAGCACCTGTAGTGCCCCATGTCACTTTCCCCAGAAATAATTCTGCCTTGGAAGGTCCTGGCCTGAGATGGGAGTTTTCGCACCCTCAGCATGGTGTCTGCAGGCCCCCACTCCACCCAGTCCCAGAATCCCACACCCTGGGGTGCAGAGCAGAGCCAGCCCGAGCCTTGGAGGAGGCTGCTGGGAACATGGAGAACCCGTCTGTCCGCTGCTCACCATGTACGAAGGGAAGATCAGGACTCGCTTGTGCTTGCCACATGGCCACTGGGGGTCGTCCAGGAGGTTGGGGTCATAGTCCATGAACTCTCCCAGATCGCTACCTGATGGTGACATGAAAATGACAATTAGAGGCCAGGGTCCTCTGAGGCAGAGGCAGCTGGGAGAAGCACAGCACAGCTGAAGTCATGAGGGCTTCAGGGCTTCAAGCCTAGGATGTGTCCAGGGTCCTGACCCGCAGCAGATGTCCCTGTGAGTCCAGGAGGTGCGGCCCCACCAGCCACACAAAGGGTTCAGCAAATTCCCTGTTCATTTTGACACTTTCCCCATTGTACACAATTACATGTTAGTCTCCCTGTTATAGGAGAGCCCCTCCGTCCCCGGGGATGTCAGAGGCACAGTGGCCTCACACTTCGCAAGACGTGGCCATGCAAAGGTAACTCAGATGCACACTACTTGGGCAACTTGTCCTGCGTGACTTGTGAAGGACCACAGGTGGCTGGGACACTGACACAGAGACAAGGCAACACAAGAAGTTCACCTTCTCTAGGAATTCTCTGACAGTAGAAACAATGCTGCCTCCTAAAGAGGGTTTTTGCCTTTGTGTCAATTCTTAAAAGGCCTGGGTGGGAAAATTGGAGCCTGCAAATGTTCTTCAGTGGTCGCTCAGCTGGCCCACCATGATAACCACAAAGGAAAATCTCACCCTCCTCCTGTACCTCAGGACCCAGTTGTCTAGGGGGAGGGAAGCCAAAGCCAAGCAGTGTGAGCACACGGGACGTAACTGTGTGAATGGTGAGAAGCTGGGAATCCAGCTGCTCTGCCTGGCACAGGCAGCCTTGGCAGGGCCCTGCCAGCTTGGCAGCTGAGGCATCTAACAGAGAGAAAATCACCCATGACCCAGTCAAAACCTACACAGCCCGAGACCACGCCCTCCCCAAAGGAGACCCAAGCTGCGCCACGAAGTCAGGCGCCTCCGTGGGAGACATCACCTGCGTCCAGGCTGCCCTGGGTGCTGCTGGCCCGGCCGATGGAGAGGCTGCGGTGGCTTGGGTTGTGGAGCTGGGAGAAGGAGGAGGTGGAGTCTATGGTGTTCCTCCGGGCTCCAAAGGCATTTGTGGGGAGCAGAAACTGGGTATACGAAACTGTCTAAAAAGGTAAAAAAACAAAACAAAAAAAAAACCAACCCAAACAAACCAGTGATTACCTCTACACAATGTTGGCTTGCATTTTGACCAAGGTATGTGGCCACCTCAAGTTTGAGTCTACGTTTTAAAATTTGCAATTAAATCCAGTGTGATGAGACACAAAAAACACTCTGGCCTGTGCTTATGCCAACCGCCCCCGCACATCCTGGTGGAGAGCTGTAGCCATCCCCACTAGGTGGCAGAAGCACCAGCACGGTGCCCAGGGCACGCCTCAGAAGTGGCTGGGGTGTCATACGTCGGGCGCATGCTGCATTGCTGCTTAGGAAACCCCAAACACGGAATTCCAGAGCACTCAGGGCCTGAGCGTCTTGGACAAGGGCTGGGGGCGCTGTTCCACCCCTCATGATACCAACTCCCTTCGCCCTGGTTCCCAGGTGAGTGCCCAGGATGTGGGAGAAAGTTGGAGCGAGTGCCCCTCTTTCACCTGCCTGGGGAGTCCTTGCATGCACCGAACTGCACCTGGAGTGCTGGGTGCTGGCCCTCAGGCCAGTGGCAGGGGAGGGTGAGAGGCACTCGCTGCCCCACAGCCTATGCTGGGACAGTTTCCCCACAGATGGGCTTCGCAGGTGGACGGTGCCTGCCCACAACCAGCCCGTGGGGGCAAATTCATCTCCTCATTTTTACTCCTCAGATGCAACTCAGCAGCTCGCTGCATAGTGGATGGGGAGGAATGCGGTGGCTTTGCTGCTTGGTCACTGAGGAAGCCTGAGGGACTGCAGGCTCCCCGGGGCCACAAGAAGCCAAACACTGTTCTAGCAGCCGCGGTGTGCCTTATGGACATGCCAGATAATGGATGTTCGCAGCAGTGCTGCATCTGGCACGTGCATGGATGTGCACATGTGCGAAGCACTTCCAAGTGCTGCCCACTCATTGGTAAACGGTACTGCAGAGCTGGGTATGTGCCTGGGAGACCCCACCGTGCCACACCCGGGCAAGCGGGGTCAGCATGCAGCCCATACCCGGCATGTGCCCAGGCTTACTCCCTCCTCACAAGGGAGGCCTCAGATCTCCTTGCTGCCTCTGCTTCCCGACAACAACAGTGGTGGCCACGTGACCCCAGGGACAAACTCTGGGAGCCTTACCTTCCCGTCGGCACCCAGCTCCACACCTTCCAGGCCAATGATCTCTCTCAGGCTCATGGCGCCTGTTGACTGTCGCCCTCCATCCAACTTCAAGTCCCTGAGGACAAGCCAGAGGAAGATGCTTTGGTGTGTACCCAGAGGGCTGTGCTGACAGGCACTGCCCAGGCCACCACAGTCGCATACAGGTCCTGTGAGGCAGGGTCTCTTCCCCTACCCCAAGGAGACTGGCAGGATGCTCTGGGGCAACTCAGCTGTTTCATTCACTCTGACATCACAAAGTCCAGCAAGACAGCCAAAGAGGGACGGGGCTCAGGAGCGATGGCTTATTGACGTCCCTCCCTCCTTGGCAAGGCCGTGTAATAAGAGGTGACCAGTTACTGAGCAGCCAGGGACCATTCCTGGATGCTGGAGCCTCTTGGTTCTGGAATTCTACCTGCTGGTTCTTTTTAGAGCTGGGCAGACCATCTCTCTTGGCCCCTCTTTTTTACCAAACAGGAAAAAGAAAAGCCCTGCGCAACCCCCACATTAGGTGAGGAAAATCTGTAAGAGCGTGATTTCCATCAATAACAACATACATTCCTACAGCACTGCACAGTTCCCAAAGACTTCACGCATCTTTTTGGTGCTTTAAGATGACCCGTTAAGATAAGTATTACTAGTACTGACCCATTTTACAGAGGAGGAGACTGAGGCTCAGAGTAAGTAAATGACCTGCCGAGGACACCAGGATGGTGGGTACTGGGGACTGATTTTGCATCCGATGCTCCTTCTGATGCCTAGGAGATGCAGAACAGTGGCACCGTGACTGCGTACAGGTGTAACTGCACACGTTGCTGGAGTGTGATCCCACTGGCTTATAGAAGTTTCCAACTTCCACGGCTCACTAGGATCACCTGGGCAGCTCTGCAGCCCATCTGCTGTCTGGCTTGCAACCCTAAACACTCTACATTAGTCACTGTGGGTGGGACCTGGGCATCCGGAGTGTTAAGTCCTATCCAGTGATTCTCAGACGCAGCCCTCAGCTTCTGTACCTACAACACATCGTGTCTGTGAGTGGACACCACTTCCGATAACAGCGTTCTTACTATGGGACAAGGAGGGCCACAATCAGAGCACAGACTAAACAGACACAAGCATGATGGAAAGACATGAAGGCAAGACTCTCCAGGCCAAAGACACGCAGCGAAGAGGAGAAGGAAATGGGGAATGGGGAGAAGACAGGAAAGAAGTCCACTGCCCAGGGCAGAGGATGAAGACAGCATCTCCGATTCTTCTTTGTTTCTGCCCTTGGCTACAAGCACTGCAATGCATGAACCAACCCCCCAGCCTCCTGCAACGTGGTCCGATCTGGGTAGAATCAGCACAGGATCTGCTGCACCCAGTAGTCAGTACCGACTTCCATGGCAGTGTCCTTGGCAGCCCGGGGCACTGCCACGCTCAGAGGGTACGGAAGTCCTGCAGAGCCAGGGCGATGGGCCGGCCCATCACAGACCTGCCAGCAAGACCACTGCAGGAGCTGCTCTCGTCGGCCAGGGAGAAGGCTGAGGGAGTTTAGGAGTATTAAAGCGAGCCCACGTCCAGGGCGCCCCCACACGCCCTGCTGGCTTGGGCAGGTGTCCCCGATCGCTGTGCCATGTCTACACAACACCTGACACAGGAAGGCACTCAAGGGGTCACTGAGGTGGGGTTCTGGCTGCCTCACTGGTCCTGGTTCACAGAGATGGCGTGACGCCAGTGTTTTCCATCCTGCCCCCTTCCTCTGCCTGCCACCTGCTCACAGCTCTCACTGCACCAGAGATGGCCTCGCCTGCCATCTGCACCCTGCTAAACACGCCCCTTGCAGGCAGCAAAGCCAACCCAGACACATCTCTTCCCACCTCCTGCTTCTAGGCGCCACCTCAGGGGCATAAACTGAAGCTGTAGCATAAGCTACACTGTGTGTGTTTATATAAATCCAAGACCTCTCCCTGAGCTAAAGCCCAAAGCCGATTTAAAAAACAGGGCCTTGTAGGCCCAGCCAGTTTTGCAAGTGCTTCAGGATGCTGGGGCCACATGAAAGGGAGGAGCTAGGCAAGGCTGGGCCACGCCTACCTCCCCGCAGCAACCCTCTCTAGGGGATCAGTGACCTGCAGGAGCCTATGCTGCCCACTGGCTTTGTATTGGCATCACGCTCCTCTCTAAACCTCTTGGGCCATGCCCTGTAAAAAAAGGAACAGAAAGGTCACCTTTGAACTGCACCGCAGGCACATGCGGCTGGCAACAGAGCACTGCCGTACGCAGAACCTGTCCCCGCACTGGGGACTCTGTTACCTGCTGCCCCATAAGGTGGTCCCTGGCTGTATGTGGCAACTGAGTTCCTTTAAGTGTGACCAGCTGCCCAAGGAATTAATCATATGCAATTTTAATCCAATGCAAATAGCCACAGTGGCTAGTGATAGGCCATGTTGGACCAAGTCACCATGGTAACCATCCTGGCAAGACAGCACAGTCACAATATAGTAGTGTATGACCTGGACCTGGTGCCCCACTTTTCTTTCTGGCGGGGGGCCTGGCCACTTCTTGGCGGTCGGTCGTAAACATTTCTAGGCCCCGTTAATCTTCAATGCCTGTCACCGCAGGGACTCTGCTAGGTGTCCCAGAGGCAAGATCCTGTAGGTGTGGCAGGCACGGGGTTCCCAACACCACCTGTGTGGCACAGGGCAGTGAGCAGATCTTTCAACCAGAGGTGTCCTGGGCGTGGTCACACTAGGGAGCCGTGTGTGGGGGCACCACAGGCGCCCTGGGTGCATGGACTTGAAGGCCCGCTAGCCCTGAGCAAGAGGAGTGGAGGGCTCAGGTGAAGTAGCTGAAAACAAGGACTGTGTTCTTTCTTGCATGTGGAAGCAGGTACATTTGTGTCTACCCCACTGACACTTGAAAAACTTCACTGCTACGTTAACAAACGTCACCGCCTCTCTAGGACACCGGCTGCTTTGTGATGGCAGAAGACACGTTTCCATACATTTCCCCTCAGATTCAGGGGGAAGTTGCCACTGGTTCCAGGGTATCCCCCTAGGTGGCTATGAATGACAAGCCAACACGTACACAGAGGTTCACACGCCTCTAGCCAGCTCGTAGAAAATGTGACAGGACTCACGTAAGCCGCTTCTCCTGCATGTCGGTTTCTTCCCACAGCTGAGTTTATGGACAGCAGGACAGCTAGGATCTGTGAGACGCATCTTTCCTAAAGAGGCTGAGAAGTTCCTGATTTTTCTTAGCTAAGTGCTCTGATAAATGTTACTACAACCTGATATGAATATAAACCATGTGAAGCTGCCGTTCGGGGGCCTTATCTGACCTCTGTGGTAAAAGCAGTTTCACATTGGAGCCCCTAATACCACAGGTAACTGCTCGGGTCTCGTCTGAGTAAAAAGCATTCCAAAGACACAAGGCTGCTGGAGTCCCACGGCCTCCGAAGCCGGGAGAGCCAGAGAGCTGCAGAAAGGAACTCTGAGTGGCACTGATTCACCCAGAAAAAAATCCACAAACGCCACTGAAAAAGAATCAAGCAGCCCCAGCGGAACGAAGATGAAATCTCGATGTTTTCTTTATAAGATCATTGTTCTGAGTTCTCATAAAATGGTTATGGAAATAAAAATATCTGCTGGCTCGCACGCCAGAATTAACCGTCCAGTACCAGGAGACGGAGCAGGAGAATGTGGAGCCCCGGCAGAAAGCCATTAAAAATGAATCGAAGTCAGACTTTTCAACTTTTTTGAACAGCCTAGAGAATTACTTTTTCCCAGACACATGGAGAGTTCAAATATTAATTTATTTATAGTCTGTCTCCTTTTAAAAATGGAAGAGGCACATGCTGATAGGGTGTGTAGATACTGTCCGAAACTGTGCTGGGGTCCCCTCTCCCACAGTGCTGGGGGCTGCTGTGGCTTAGGCTTACCTCCCTGGATGAGTTCATTGCTCATTCTGTGCAAGTTCTTTTTTTTTTCTTTTCATTTGTTTGTTTTGCTGAGTTAGGGTCTCACTAGGGTCATTCAGGCTGGCCTTCAACTCATTCGTAACCCAGGCTGGCCTCAAACTAACAGGGATCCTCCTGCCTCAGCCTCCCCTGGGATTACAGGTGTGGGCCATAATAACTTCTGCAGAGACCATAGGCCACAGGTCCATTCTGGAAACCCAACACAAGGCTCTTTTTTTAAATAAAGCCTGATTGTCACAACTGGCCAGTGGGAGTGGTTGGAGGGACCCGGGGAAGAGCTTAGGAAGGATGCGGGTGAGGGCAGGGGTTGAAGCAGGAGAAGAACGCACATTTGGGGAGAGCACCATGCAGCAGTTACAACAGCCTTAAGCAAAGAAAACAACAGGCTGGTTAGGTGAGGGTTAGTACCCTTCACAGAACTACACAATTCATTTAACGCGCTCTCCCTGGGGCTCAGTCTTGGCTCCTACAGCATAAAGCAAACCCACGTGGCTCACTGTGGAGTCACCTGATCCCAGCGTAAGGACGATCCCGACATCTTGGGGCTCACGGCCTAGGTCAGATTAACTATCAGCTGCCCCATTCTTGATTTCATCTTTTGTAAAAGGTGAAAGAATGTTTTTGGCCTCTTCCTGTGTCTTCCTGGCAAGGGCCCACTGCCTGCTCACTGAGCCCGAAGGCACAGAATTGACCTGGACAGGAAAGCAGGAATCCCCGCTGGATGGCAGAACATTCACCTTCGATCCTTAGCGAGCGCAATCACTGAGCCAATATTATGCCTTGAAAACTATGACCTGATATTTCACACCTGGGAAGTAGATGGAAAAAGTGTGTGATCCAGTTCACCACGTTGCAAGGCTTTCCGCTTCCGAGACACGGCCGTCCGGACTTTGCACTGTCACCATTTCTTTAAGGGTGTCTTAAGCTCAAGGCCTTGGAACACCAGCCAGGATCGCCACTGGGCATCTGCTTTGTGAAGGCTAACAACAGCTCACACACTTTGATGCATAAATAATTAGGAGCTAATTAAATATTAATAGAATTTCTAGACCCTTCAAAAAAGAGTGAGCGAGAGATTTGCTGAGCAGAAAACAAAGTTTGAGAAGTAGATTAGGAAATGA